CTCTATATATACATATATGTATCTATATCTTTATATATATACGTAGATATCAGGTCGGCGACCTCACAAGGGACAGGTGAGCGAAAATCGGGAATCGATTCGGTGTTCAGTGTAGCAACTAGGTATTGATTCGGGGTTCGCCATGCGGAGCGACGACTGCAACTTGCGAAGGGGATCGAGCAGCTTTATACAAACGTTATCGTGGCTATGGCGAAAGGTAATCGAGCTGCGGAACGCGGATCGGCAATGGCGGACGGAGGTGGAGGGTGGAGAAAAGATATCAGAGCACGTCCATTGGCGAAACAACAAAACCGGGATTTGATTCGGGGTTCAACAGAACGCGGCTGCGGCGTTATATCCTGCAGGTACAGACAGGGCATTTGGGAATGTGTTCGGACGTCAGACACAGAATAGGACAACTCAAGTTATATGATTTTACCTTCGTCGTGCGTTGAGCGAGCAACCAACCACCGAACCAGCTATGGTGGAGGGATATCGAGCTAGGAAGAGCGAAGACTGGGGAACGAAGAGCGAACCACATACAATGTGGCAACTACGGACGGAGCGAAGAGCGAAGAGTGAGCGGGCTATGGCGGAAGGTGGGGGGGGCTGAAGACCAAATATCAGACAGCGCGCGGAAGCGATAGCGCGACTTGATCTGTGGAGCGCCAACAAAAGGGATAACTCGAGGGCTGCAACGCCTTTTATACTTTGTTGCAGCAGGCCTCGCGTCGGGATCAAGGTGGGGCCGAATTGATTCGCATATCGCACCCCTGGGCCCATAAAACGCCATCAAGGTGGGGCCGAATTGATTCGCGTATCGCACCCCTGGGCCCATAAGACGCCAGGTCATATAAACGGCAAGGGGTACAGGAAATTGTCAGCCGTCGATCAACAATTTTCAACCACGCAGATGAACGGAGCCACTATTATGCCAATGGCCCCAAAATCTCCGTCTACTCCGGCGTGCAATGATGTGACAGTTCCCTAAAACAAGGGGCAGGCAATGTCATTTTCGCAGTTGTAATCTGGACTGTCGATCGGCATGATTCGACGCACGAGGTCAGGCGCAAGAATTTATAAGATGCGGCGATTCGTTGTGCGCCGAGGCGGTTCGTTGCGCGCCGAGGCCAGGTGACGGTTTATTTCCCGCCGAGGCGCGGCGATTCGTTGTGCGCCGAGGTCAAAAACACCGGAAATCTATAAGTTCCGGTATCGCTGTCATTCGGACATTTTGCAAATGTCAACGGCGTTCGATATCGATGCGCTTAGCCATGCACCATCGTTATCGATGTGCTTAGCTCATCGCCATCGCCAACGCTCGCCATGCACCATCGTCATCGATGCGCTTAGATCATCGCCATCGCGACACAAAGCTATATACCCCATCGCAGGCGTCGCGCTCGCCTGACCATCGCAGCGCTGACAATCGCCATCGCTCTCATCGCAGCACTGACCCTTGCTGCGCCATCGCAACACTGGTACCATAACTGCCATCGCAACGTTGGTTCCATCGCTGCGTCATCTCTCATTCGGTGCGCCATCGCTATCGCTGCCATCGCTATCATTCTCGCTGCCTTCGCTATCGTTGTTCCATCGCTGCGCCATCGCTATCGCTATTCCATCGCTGCGCCATCGCTCTCCACCGGTGCGCCATCGCTGCGCAATCGTTATCGTTGTTCCATCGCTGCCATCGCTATCGCTATCGCTGCATTGTAACGCGTTCCATCGCCGCGCCATCGCTCTCCACCGCAGCGCTGGCCATCTCTATCGAAGCCCTGGCCAGTGTTATCCCACCACAGCGCTGCGCGATTTCTCTCTCCATCGCCGCACGATCTCCCTTCATCGCTGAGTGATCACTCTCCATCTCACTCCATCACTGCACAATCTCTCTCGACAACCGGGCAACCTCCATCTTTGCCCCAGAGGCTCTCCATTACTCGTGCGTGATCCCGCCATCGCCATTGTATTGTTGTTTCAGGCCTTCGTCGGTGCAGCCGCCCATCACTGTGGAACCGCACGAAACAAGTGACAGGTATGCTTAACGAAGGTTTAACTCGATGGAACTGGTGTTGTGCAATAGCAAATCTTGGTCATCGTTGTGCCTTCTCTCTCCATCGCTGCCACATCGCTAACCATTGTTGCGCGTCCTCTCTCCATCTCTCTCCACCGATGCGCGATCTCTACCGACCTTTCGTCATCTATCCCCATCGCTGCGGTATTTTTCCTAATCTATCTCCTTCGTCATCCATCTCCTTCGGTGCGCTATCTTTCCTAATCTATCTCCTTCGTCATCTATCTCCATCGCTGCGCTATCTTTCCTAATCTATCTCCATCGTCATCTATCTGCTTCGGTGCGCCATCTTTTTCTATTGTTGTGCTATCGCTAACCATCGCTGCGCCTGCTATCTCCATTGTTGCGCCATGTTTCTCCATCGGTGCGCAATCTCTCTCTCTCGCTGAGGCACACCTCCCAATCAGTTCGCGATCTCTTTCCCTTCCTGCGCCATCCACCTTCTTCCCCCGAATATACAACACACTTTCATTACAGTTGTCTTTAGACTGAAAGATGACCCGAATTCAGCTGTAATGACCGGACGTTGTATTCGGGGGAAGACTGTGACTCCATCCATCTCTCTTGGTGCGCCATCTCTCTCATTCGGTGCGCCATCTCTCTCCATGTATTTTCATCGATGCGCCGTCTGCCCATCGCTTCGCAATCTTTCTCCATCTTAAAAAATAGCACG